TTGGGTACCAGGGATGGAACTCAGGAATGGAACTCAGGACCTTGCACTTGCGAGGCAGGGGGCGGTACCACTGAGCTAAATCCCTGGCTCAATATACTTTGATCTATAAACTATCCAGAAAGCAGTATGAATTTCCAGAAATGATGCACTATAGAAATATACAATGTGATAGTGTGTAGGACATCTTAAAAAGGGATCTAGTATCAAAACATGTCCAGTTGGGCTGAGGATTTAGCTCAGTGGCCCTGTGCCTGCCTGCAAAGCACAAGGTCCTGAGTTCAATCCCTGGTACCATCCACACACACACACACTCACTCACACACAGAAGGGTTACAACTGGACAGGGCTTTTTTAGTTGTTTTTTAGGGTTTGGGGTGTGTGTGTGTGTGTGTGTGTGTGTGTGTAACAGGATCTGGTTTATTCTGCCTTGGCAGGGTGGCCATGAAATGGTGGAGAAAAGACCAAAAACTAGAAAAGGCCACACAATAGTTGGAGAAGTTATATGTATGTTTTGTGGCGGGGGAGAGACACTCAAACAAGGCTAAGCTGGACATGTGGAAATAATGTTGGTGCCATACAGAGGCCAGGACTTCCTCCTTATATCCTCACAAACATCCACTTTCAAAATTTTAATGTCACTAATGACTTAAGGTCTTATCTAAGACCTCTATCAATCATGTACAGTACCTCAACATTTGGTTTAGAAAATTGTCATTGTAGTCAAGCTAACTTTGTCAAGTAAATTTTTTGAATCTCAAAAGAATCAATGCCACAATTTAACCAATTGTGGGTCTCCAACATAAAAACAGCTGTAAAGTACCTGCAATTTTTACAATTAATTTGAATGATGCAGTTTCATATTAGGCAAGCTACAATCAGCTCTTATGCAACTGCAGTTGAAAGAATAAAAAGTTCAGTCAATTTGTATTTTAATGTTGTAGTGTTCCATTCTCTTACTATTTAAAAAAAAAAGTGATAACTTGAGCTTACTTTTGGCACTGAACATCTGTAAGCAACTGATCCTTCGGGTTTTAAATTTGAACATTTGGCAGGACTAGTTGACACACTGATACTTTCATCCCTAGCACAGCCCCTCACCATGACCTATTTTTTTAAACCTTCTATTTCTCCTTTAGAAAAATCTACATTTTGACAAACTTTTCTAGATTTAGCCATTATATAAATCATACATAAAAAGAGACAATGAGATTTTGAAGATTTTCCTTGCCAACATTTCAACTTGGCAACATTGTATCTATGAAGCTATTAGCAATAACACTGTAAATATACTCAGATGCAGGTAGCTTCCAACAGACAAATGCTAAGGCTGTTTTGCTTTGGAAATGCACAAAGAGCCAAGGAGGTTGCTAACACTTCCACAGGCCCAATGTCCAATTTTTCTTCCTTCCATCACAACTAAGATGAGGACTTTTGCAATGAAAACTATCTCAAGAAAAAGAGACGTTCTTACATTTTAGCAAATGAAAAGCAAGCATACATCAAGGGAGCAAGTGGCTACAAGAGAAAGATCAGGAATATGGTACATGGAGAAAGAAAAAAGGATATGGGAATAAGGAAAGGAGGTACAATCAGTACAAAAACTATTTAAGCACTTGAGAATTTTATATGGAGTCAGGCCTATGCCAAAATGTGTGAGCAGAAAGTACCCTTTCTTATCACAGTATAAAGAACCAAAAAAAGAAAAAGGAAAGTATTAAAATTGTTGGCTAGTCTAGAAACTTACCTATCAGTCAAGTTTTTATGAGAAAAAGGACTCCAAGTTCTGCATGCATTCAGTCAATAACTAAATGCAATGAATAAGATAGGCATAGTCTCACTTCCCATATCCAGTGGGAAAATAACTAAAAACTGGTAAACAAGCAATAATGTTACACAGTGATCTAATGGGCACTAAGAAGAAAACAAAGTGTTGAGCCAGAAAAAAGCTTGCAGTACACATTTTAAACAGTTGTTGAAGTCTCTGAAGAAGCAGCTTTTATACCAAATTCAGAGGAAAAGAAGGAGCCAGACATTTTAAGAGCAGGAGGAAGAACAGTCCATGAGGCAGGAAAGAACTTGTCTTGTTCATGTATCTGAGAAATCACAATGGTGAGAAAAGTAGGAATAACATGAAGTTTGAAGTCAGAAGAATGCAGAGATATATAGACTATGGCAAAGACGAGATTTTTATTCTGATATAATGGAAATTTTAATTTAATAAAATTTAATATTTAATTATGATATAACCCAATGATTTTATAATGAAACCTAGTTTTGGAGTACAGCCTAATTGATAACTGGGGATATAATTTTATACATCACATAAGCAAGTATTTTAAACTGTAAAAAATTCCCATCACCTGTAATGCAGTTTATGATAATACTGATTGAAATGTGATAATGATTGCAATCATTCCATTTGTTATAACCTAGCTGTAGTGCTCTGCTCCCTTTGTAGTACTCATCACACTGAACGTTTTCTGTCTGTTGACCTGTTTTGCTTTGTTCCTTTCACATAACTGCTCAGTAAACTTCATGAATGTGGGGTACCTATCTTGTTAACATTCTTTTCTCACAATCTCACTAAGTAGGTAATCAAATATGATTCATCTAATGTTTAATGAGCACTCATAGTTGTTCTAGACCCTACAGAAATTTCAAAAAAAACAAATACACTATTCTATAATCTCAAGAAGCTCAAAGGGTTGGGGGTAATCTTGTAAACAGCTAAATTATAACATTCTGTCAATAAACTGCTTTGAGAAGCCAAAGGAGAAGATATATAGTCTGTTAAAGCATTTTCTTTGTGCAGGTATGCATAATTACATGAAAAGGCCAACAAAGGTACAAAAATATAATCAGATAGTGAATACATTTATTCAAATTACAGTTCATAAGTCTTAAAAATATCCATCATGCAGAACATTTGTACTTATGGCAGCTGAGATAATGGCATTTGTCTTCTGTAATCCTATTGTGGGCTTCAGCATAGTGAACATCTAACACGTATCACATTTACAAAAAGCCAGAACACTCCAATTGCTGAGCAGAGCATAAGGTAAACTTACACAACATCCAACCTGTTGTGTGAAATTCCAGAATTTCCACTCCTCCTCCCCATGTCTAAGGGTGCCAAGTTTTGATCTGCACTGATTCAGCAGTATGTTTACAATCCTTTCATTGGAAATTGGGTAGTACATGTCTCTTTCCCACCTTTATGGCACTGCTAAAGGAAAATACTAATGATCAACACTGTTTGGGGAGGGAGTAAATAATAAAGAACAGGTTTTTCGATGAAAGGAAGAAAAAAAGGAAAAGTAAAAACAGTAGGATCGCAAGATTGAGTTCAATATTATTTAACAAATGATCCATAGAAAACAAAAGCCTTTTCAGCAAGACTTGGAAGCAAAAACGGTACTGTGTAATACAACCTGGATCTAGTGTTTTGTTGAAATGAAATCGTGCATTTCTTTAAAAAGGAAGTAATTTTCTCATAGAGGGTCAAAAAAAGCAAAAGCCTCACATTTTAGAGGTTATTTTCTATTAAGAATCACACAGCATGAGCATCAAAAAGAACACAATACCTTCAGCCAGTTTTACTTAACTTATTTATCTAACGAATGTAGCTAATTTATTTCTTACAATGAAGGGCTGTAACGACAAGTTTTACAAGGATCTTTAGGTTTTTCACAGCACAGGATAAATATGCAGAAAAATGCTTTTACAATTTCAATTCCTGGGATTTTATGTGAATGCCAACGATTCTAAATTGGTAACGTTTCAAATGCGCTTTTCATAATACTGTGTTTCGAGTCAGTCAATGCAATACTACACACGTATTTGGACACATTCCTACTAGTTCATGAGTCGAAACTGAATAGTTTGAACATATAGAAATGAAATATTAATACCCGTTGAAAAGCAACTACGGTTTTGCTTACTGTCATAATATAGATTCAGCGATAAACTACACTTTAGGCAAAATCAACGCCAATGATGCAAAATGGCAAAAGCTGGAAAAAACAAACACGGCTAAATGTAAAGATCTCATTAGTACAAACATTCCTGGGAACACCGGCAAGCACTAGCAACCCTCTCCTTCCAAGAATACTGCCGAAATAAACCTCGAGGGCAATCTCAGAGATTGTCAAAACGGTCTGAAATTTCTAGAAAAGTTGCTGACCAAGAAGTGAGGCCCAGCCCAGAAACCACCACCTAATTCTAAAGGGAAGTCAAAGCCGACACAGGATGCTAGTAGGTTTGTGGACTGGGCTGCACTAGGGCAGGAGGGTGTGGACCTGACAGGCAAGGTCGGTTGCAAGCGGGAAGCGACCGAACCCCGGACACGCTCAGCACCAGCTAGAAGCGGCCCTCGCTAAGAGGACTCCGCTCTTACACCGCTCCCGGGCTCCCACGCCAGGGCTCCGCCACCTCCGTCCCCAGAGCGCCCAGAGGGGCAGTCACTCGCCCCTCGCCCTCCCTACAAGCCCGAGCGCGGGGCCACCCACCGCGAGGAGGAAGGACCGCGTCTGCTCTGGCTAGCCCCGACACAGCTCCACAGTAACGTCCACCCCAGAGCTTCCAGCCCTCTCTCCACTCCTCCTGGGGGAAAAGCCCCCACCAACACTTCTTTCTCCCCAAACCGATCCCCGCCCGCAGCCTTACCCAGACCCCCAACAAGTAAGCTCCTACAAATAACTCCGACTCCCGGGCACTGACTCTGATCCGCGGCAGCAAGTTCACGACACTTTCGCGATTGCCGTAAAGAGAGATAGGGTAGGAAGGCGCGGCGGCGCTCCCGGAGCTGGACTGGCCGCTCGGGAGCGCGCCCAGGGCCCCGCCCCTTGTGCTAGCTGAGGGCAGGTTCCGAGTTCCGCCCCGGACAGGCAGGGTCCCCTGGTTAAGGTAGGCCGAAAGGTGGGGTCGGGGAAACAGGACTGGCTCTGGCGCCAACGCTCCCTTTAGAGAGGTTTGTCTGAAGGTGGGGAAGGGTGAGCCTAGGAAGTCGGCGCAGCCCGGCGTCCTCCAGTCCAGCGGGTGGCCTGCGGGCGAGGCGCTCCCGGATCGCGCTCCCTCAGGACCACGCTGCGGGGCGCCGAGAGGAGCAGGTGAGCGCTGACAGGCCTCAGGTCGCCGCCCACCTCCCTTCCTCCTAGGTTCCCCCGGCGCCACTCCGCCTGCCCTAAGTGGTATCCCGTAGCTTTCCCTCACACCAGACAAAGCGAAGCCGAGATCTTTAGTGCCATACAACAGCGGAAAAATGCAGCGGTCTAAATTGTTCCTCCGATTTTATTTACGGAGATACCGAGAACCTTAAACTGTGTCTGAGTTTAAATCGTCGCTTCGGGGCTCGGTCTTCCCGGTGGGAGCAGGGGTGGGGGGTAGTTAAAAAAAAAAATACGGTGGTGTCTCGGTTCACGAACTCGGTTCTTGCCAGGATTCTGGTCGCAAGCCAAATTGCTCCTGAACCGAATCAACTTCGAGGGTTAGGTTCACTGTTGACTTTATGGGGAAATTTTTAGGTGCTTGGTGATCTCTGTTCACGGAACTCAATTGAATTGCAAGGAGTGGTCCCAATACCGAAAGGAAATTGCTTGTTCCTTTGTATTCCTGCTACAGTGCTTTACTGTCCTTTTGATAGAGTAACATGCACCGAAAAAACAGAAAACACTCCATAGCAGTATTTTTCCAGTTCCCCCAAGTTTTAATTTATAAATCTGTACCCAAATGCAACGCTAGAATTTGTATTGCATTATTCGAGTTTCATTTCATGTCCATTTAATTTATAAAAACAATACACAATCTTTTAGATTCTTTAGGACTTAATTATTACAAAACGTATTTGTCAAGAGGCCAGGTTAGACGTTTGGAAAATAACTTGTGTATTATGTTTTGCTCTGGGCCAAATGGTTCTTTCGACCCCTGAAAGCAGCTCAGGGCTTTTGTCTGTTTACTCAGAACATTTGGAATATACTTTATTTCTTAGAAGCTACCACTTTGAGGAGACAGCGCAATAAGTTACTCTTATTATGAGTGGCTTTATAATATTCGTGAAAAAAGTTAACCGGATTTCTGATCCATGGAGCTTCGAAGAAAGCACAGATGAGAGGTGCAAGAACATTTTGTTAAACACTCAGTACTATGTAAAGTTTGTTCTTGAATATTTTCAAGTGTTTTTAAAGGTTTTTTTTTTTTTTTGAGACAGGGTCTTGCTCTGTAACATAAGCTGGCCTTGAACTGGTGGCAATCTTCCTATCTCAGCCTCCTGAATGCTGGGATTACAGGTGTGTGCCACTGTGCCCAGCAGTTTTAAAGATTTCTTTGAACTATTAACCATTAAAATTCTAATTTTGCTTGGTTGAGAGTTACCCTTCCAGGCCTTCAGCTTTTGAAGATGAAGTTGCTTGTGCAATTAGTTGACTTTCTTACCTAGTCTGCATTTAAATTTCTCAGATGTCACTGGCAAACTGGCAATCCATTTGAATTGTTAAACAACTAGAACTCTCAGAGCCTAAGGAGATATAAGTACAAAATGCTTTATACTTAGAAAGCATACATAGAAGTTTTACTCTATATAGGTGGTTAATTATGACTCTACAAAATTGATAAATCAGCTGTCATTATATATATATGTTTATATATTACACGTATGTTTATATGAATGATTGAACTCACTCTTAATTTTTTAAATTTTGAGACAGGATCTTGCTAAGTCCTTGGGTTACACAGGTTGGGTGCAATTATGATCCTTCTGTCTCAGCCTCCTGGAATGCTGGGATTCATTATTTTTATGCTTATTCTGTTCCACTCCCAGGACAGTCCTTTGAGGGTTTGATGGTTTTACAGATTGGAATACTGTGACTCAGAAGTTAAGTGACCAGCCTGAAATATACAGTTGGAAAATGGTAACAGTAGGATTTATTTCCCATTACATAATCTGACCTCAGAGCTGTGTTCTTTACAATGCATCAACACTAGCTAAGCTTTATTTTACTTAATAATAAGCTATCATTCTTTCTTAATTTTTATCCCTCTTCTGTAGGAAGGAACTTTTTTCTTTTATCCTTTTTGAGGTGAGGGAAAGGTGTCTGGTGTAACAAAGCAAAAGAAAATTGATACCCTAAAATTAAAACATTTTTAAATTCCAGATGTTAAATCACTGTTATAAAAAATTCAAATATCAATTTTTTTTTTTTTTTTTTTTTTTTTTTTTGGTACTAGGGATCAAACTTGGGACTTTTTGCTTACAAGGCAGGTGGCGGAACCACTGAGCTAAATCCCTGGCCCTTCAAGTGTCAATTCTGTAAAGAAAAATAACCCGGTAATAATTTCTGTAGACTCATGCTCTGTCCATGAACACTATTGATGTATTTAAATTGTAACATTTAAAATTGTGGATTAAAAATAACATTATTTTCTTTGTCTTTGGATTTTAGAATTTATAAATGGCACAGGTTTGAACAGTTTTGAAGACTGAAATTTTGTGAACTTGTAGAACAGGTAATTTATCTTTCAGATTTTAAAAGAGAAATATTTGTTGATTACTTATTGTATTATTTCTTTTGGTCCTTGAATAAACCTCATTGAAGCAGCTATTATTTTAGATCAACAGATAATACTAAAAGTTACCATCAATTATGCATCAACAATGTGTGAGGTTCTTTTGTGCTATCAGTGTAACTTCTATAATAACTGTCCAGCACAGTACAGTGGAACTTTTCCATTATAAAGAAATGACCCTAATTTTACTGTCCTTTTGGTAGCCACTAGGAAAATGGGCTTTGAGAATTTTAAATGTGACTTAGTACAACAGAATAACTGAAAATTTTTAATTTTCTATTAGTCAATTGTAATTTTAACTGAAAAAGCTGTTAAACCTATTGAAGTAGCTACATATACCTACATATACATATACTTACCATCCAGACAGTGCAGGCTCTGCTGTTAATATTTCCATTTCTCAAAGGCAAAACTGATTCGGAGATATTATGAAGCCTTCCCAAGCTTACAGTTTTATTAAAACAGTTTTTGAGCAAAGAAATACTTTAAGAGTGTTAATTTGGGACCAGGGATTTAGCTCAGTGTTGCCACCCCCTGCCTTGCAAGTGGAAGGTCTTGAGTTGGATTCCAGTATTAAAAAAAAAAAAAAAAAGTTAATTTAGCAACGCAGTTAGAATAGATAGAGGGGAAGAAAAGCCATGTAATCTGAATCAAGTGTGTATTGGGAGGAAGGATCATTATAAATTACTTCTAGAAATAGAATTGCCATCACTTAGTGAAGGATGTTGGGGCTTTGGAGAGAGATAGCTTAGAGTTACTGTGAAGTCTTAAGAGTCTGAATAGCCTGGAAAAATGGCAATGCTACGTACTGAAAGAGAAAACCTATGAACAGTTTTGTGTTTTCATTCAGTAAATATTTTGTGCTTACTCTGGGCAAGGTTTTCTGTTATGCTTAGGTGGAGGAGTGGAGTCCCTTTGCAAGAATTTTATTCACTTAAAACACCTCCCCAAATTTCTATACTGTAGAAGAAAGAGCTGTAACAGATATACAAGTCAAGAGTTCTCAGAATGAGTGTTTGCTTCCAGATAGAAAGGGATTAGAGAAGATTGTATGTGGAAGACAGTATTTGAGCTCTGTTTTAAAGAATAGGAAGAATCTATATATGTAAAAATAATAAAATGTTAGGAGGCTGTACTTCTATCAGTGGGGTACATACAGACAAAAATTTTTTTATTTGTGGCACTAAAGTTTGAACCCAGGGCCTCTGAACATCACAGCCTCCATCCCCTTTAATTAAAAAACATTTTTTTTTCTAAGTTTTTGAGACAGGTTCTTGCTAAGCCACTAAATTGCCCAGGCAAGGCTCAAATTTGGTAATCCTCCTGCTCAACCTCCTAGAGTCCTTGGATTATAGTCCTATACTACCAGGCCCAGTAGAAAAAATGTTTTGAAAATGTCTCTTACAAAAACACCTAAATACTGAATAAATTAAGTTACCCTTTAAACTTTATAGCAGCTGTTTTTGGAAATGTGCCTGAATGGTTTGAAAGTAAGTATAGACCCTTAATTTAAGCCTTTTAGAATACTCCAGATTAAGATCATCCAAATACGAGTTTACAGTTGAAAACCATAAAACATCCAGGGCTTGGCTGACCAACAAATACTGGAACTGGGTTCCTAAGGACTTCAGTTAGGAATTATTGGAAACAGTCTTAGAAATTATTAAACATTTGTACAAATTGAGAATTGTTATCTCAGAAACCCATCCTAGAGAAGGTACTTCTAGAATCGTGGGAAGGAACTGGCATTATTAACTTAGAAGATGAAGGAAAAGAACAGTTGATAGAGTTAAGGACTGACAAGAAACAAGTATAAAAAGAGGACATAATTTAGGCAAGAAATTACTGAAATAAAGCCTATAATAGTGACCTTAGGGGTAATGGAAAGAAACTTACTTAGCAAGATGTAAATGTACCTTTTTAGCAATAAGTCAAATGACCAGAGTAAGTGGGAAGTACAACTAAAAAATGGCTGAGATTTCATCATTTGGAAAGTCAGTCGGAGATAAGGAAGTTGAGCACAGTGGAGGATTGTGGCAAATAGTAGTGATTAGGATTTTTATGAAGTTCATGGGAAATACTAAATTCTTTTAGGGCATCGAACTATGAGAAGATGCTCCTCCACATTATTCACACACACATGCACACAAACACACACACACACACACATGCAGTTTCTTGTAATTTAAAAGTATTTCTGTGTTTTATAAAATTAAATTTAAAAAATAGAGGTACAAAGATGTAGTATTTTCTAATGCGTATAATTGCGTATTGCGTAGCACTCACAGTCTGGAATTTAAAGGAGAAAGTGATGTGTGGCATATATGTATTTAGGTCCTCTTTTTTGTTTCTCCCTCATGTAGGAGCTGGGAATGTAATGATGAATAAAACGATTGTTTCCTGCTATAAAAACTAGTGAGAAAGATAAAACTGAATAAGCAAATTACCAATAAGCATGATGAGTGTTCTGGTTGAAGGAGTACAGGGTGCTGCTGGAAAAAACAGAGAAACTCAGCCGGAGCCAGAAAGAGTATGGACTTGAAAAAATGTATAGAAATTAACTGAGTAGGTAGTGGGGCTGGGGAAAATAGCATTGTAACTTAGACATCCAGACAGGTAACGATGTGCTGAAGGTCTGAAGGTGTGCAAGACAGCATGGCACATTTCAAGATGTGTGGGAAGTTTGTTATGGCAGTTTAGTGCAGTGATTCTGCAAACTCAAGAATCAAAGTGTTTTAGTTTGAATTTTGTCTCCTTCATGGTCCAACCCTATGGTCTTGTGTAGTTCTCTTCACCTCTTCAGTATATTGAGTAAATGAGTTCATATATTTAAGGTAACTAGAAACATTGCTAATGTAAATACTGTTTGTTTTTGTAATGATGAGGGTTAGCACAAGGAATTGGAAATAAAGAGTAGCTGCAGGTAAAGATAAAAATGTAAGTAGAGATCAGATGATGCAAAAACCTTACAGACTGTGTTAAACTAATGGCTTTCAAGGGAACTATTGAAGGATTCTTTGTAGGAGAGTAAAGTAGTCGGATTGGTACTTTAGAATTAGAAGGACTGCTCTTGTTTTAGGGAAGAATCTAAACTAGTTGTGGCCAAGACTGGAAAAGCATTGTGTATAGGAAAAACCAAAAACTTTGGAAATACTATTTTTTCTTATATTACTCAGTATTAACACTCAGCAAGAAGTGTGGGGCTTTCTCCCAACTACAGCCAATCAGTTTTGCAGATATGAGCTGAATGTCCTCAGATTCAATTTAGTTCTGACAATTTCTGCTTATAGATAGCATCAGATACTAAGATTGAGTGCTTAGCCCTGAAGGATTGTCCCCTATTTTGGAAACCATTTACAAGCCCCAAGGTTTTTTACCTATGTGATCAGCTGTACAAGGGGATTCACATGATCCCCTTCATTAATTTTCTAGAGTGAGTAGAAAATGAATGAATTTTCAAGAGTGGCTTACAGAGCTCATGTGTTTATTAGTTTATTATAAAGGATATTACAAAGGATATAGGTAAAGATGTGCAGAAGGTGGAGGAGGAGCAAGCATCAGCCGTCCTCTGTCTTCATTGCCGGTACTCTAAACCATCTGGGCACACCACCCTCCAGGATCTTCCTTTGGTTCAGCTATTTGGAAGCTCTCGAAAACCAGTCTTTTGATACCACATTACATAGGCATGATTGAGTAAAATATTGGCTCTTGGTTATTAACTTTAGCATATAGCCCCTTTCCCTTCCCAGGAGATTCAGTAGGTGGAACTCGAAGTCCTAATCTTCTAATCATGCTTGGATCTTTAGTCTGATCAGCACCCATTTTGAAGCTACCTAGAGATTGCCAACCTCTAGTCATCTCATTAGCTTAGAAAAGAGGATTTTAGCAACTTTAAGGGTTTTAGCAACTTTTTGCCCTAAGTTTTATATCTATTGATTCAACCAACTAATAGCAAGTTGAAAATATTAGGAAAAAATTTCATCTGTATTAAACATGTATAAACCATGTTTTTGTCATTATTCCCTAAATACTACAGTATAACAACTGTTTACACATTATATTTATATTGTGTTAGGTATTATAAATATGATTTAAAGTATACATAGGTTATATACAAATACCACGGCATTTTACAAAAGGGACTTAAACATCTGCATATTTTGATATCTGGAATCAATCCCCCCCAAGGATATAATTTTAACAACCTCACGAGGACAATTTAGGAATTTATGATACTAATGTAGCCCATGATAGTGATTGTTCAGAGTATGGGCAATGAAGATAGAAGGGAAAGGATGGGAAGAAATTTAGAATAAACAGTATAGTTCTTGGTTATATATGGGATGATGGGACAGAAAGTCAGCTTCTGGCTATGGCTAGTGGTGTATCTTGGTTCCATTTACTAAAAAAGCAAAGAAGAGTGGTTGTTGGGATGCTGTGAGGGATGCTTTCAGAAGGAGAAAAGCTCAAGGTGATAAATACCAGGTTATGGGTATGGATGGCTAAAGTAGAATGGAGGAAACTTACGAATTAACTTTTCTAATTTGTTTTTTCTTCTTTAGAAGACCTGATTGAAATGTGGTTTCAGCAAGGCCTCAGTTTCCTTCCTATAGCCCTTGTAATTTGGACAGCTGCTACTTTCACATTCTCATACATTATTGCAGTAACACTCCACCATGTTGACCCTGCTTTGCCTTATATCAGGTCAGTGATATTTATTCTTTGTGTAGAAAAAGCCTTTTTCCATTCACACTTTATGTTAAAGCTGATGTTTTATGTCACCATTTTGAAAGTAAGATTTTTTACATTGAAATTACAGCAACAAAGAAATATGAAATGAAACTTGTACTTAGCTCTTTCTGTGTGGTAGAGAAAATTACAGCAACAAAGAAATATGAAATGAAACTTGTACTTAGCTCTTTCTGTGTGGTAGAGAAAATATGGAAATAGCAGGATACAATATAGTTAGTTGGTTGATTAATGAATTGTGACCCGTTAGTGCCTTATCTTCCAAGTAAGTGATGAGGATGTCTTAGACAATGTAAATGGAATTACTTTCCCCTGTTATGGCTTGTGTCTAGGTGCCCCCCACCAAAGCCTCATGCAGTCATAGATGGGTTTTTTTCATAGATGGCTGGATCTAGAGTGTGTGACACTGGGATTGATTCATGGTGCAATGCTAGGATAAAATGCACTAGGATTAAGGGTGTGAGTGCTACCTGCCCTAAGTAGCCTGGATAAGATATAAGGGATAGAGACAGTTGTGGTCAACCCTGATAGCTTTGCTACCTTCTGCCATGAACTGTTTCTCCTTGTAATACCCCTCTTCCCTATCACCCTGCCTTAGAGCCAGTCGATTGTGGACTGAAACCTCTACAGACTGTGAGCTAAATAAACCCTTTCCCCTTTTACTTTGCCTGGTATTTTTGTCCCAGCAATGAGAGAAAAGTAAGTAACTCAATTGTGAATGGTTTCTGAGCTGTTACAGTTTAAACTTTTATATAAAAGTTAAATGAATAGGTATAGGAGGTAATGGGGAAATACCATTCTTAAGGATGATTAATCAAATCACAGTGTTTTAATCTAAAGGAATGTAATTAAGTTAAAAAAAAAAAGATGAGCTGGGAATTTAGCTCAGTGGTTCTGCTGCCTGCCTTGCAAGTGCAACGACCTGAGTTCAATCCCCAATAACAACAACAAAAAAATTTGGCTTCTGTATAATGCCTTTGAAACGTCTTTCTACAGAGATGTTTAATGAATTTATTTTGTTAAATAATATTATTTTGTGTTTGTTGTAATTGTTCCATTTATTCATTCATTTACTTTCTGAAAAACAACCTAACACAGAAAATAGCAAACTTTTAAAGACTGATAAAAAGATCCACTATAAAATGTCAAGGAATAATCTAGGCATTATCATCTATATTTGTTGTTATTTGTTGTGTATGCAGTGGTATAGTATCATTCACAAAGGATGTAAGAAAACAGGTGCATTTGGGGCATTTTTACAAAACTCCCCAATTTTTACTACTTAAGATTGTGATTTTTGGGAATGATTTGGTAATCGCCACTGTCCTAGAGAAACATGTAGTCTAAGGAACCAGACCATTTCTTTTTTCTTGTTTGTTTGAGATAGGTTCTACCTCTGTAGTCCAGGCTAGCTTCAACTTCACTGTGTAGCTCAGGCTGGCCTCTAATTTGTATCCTCCTGCCTTCTGCCTTATCCTTCTAAGTGCTGGGATTGCAGGCATGCACCACCACACTTAGTTTAGACCAGTATATATATGATTCATAAGGGCCATTCAGTATTTTTTATTTCCCCTTCTGAAAACCTGTGTCACTTTAAAGTGCTTTAAATAACTTAAGAGCCCACTGACTTCTTTTTGAGAGTTTCAGTTCTCTGATAATGTTGCATGTGATTTTCTAATAGTACCTTGGACACTCTCTTTTTTCTCTTTCCTTCTGCTTTTTGATTTTCCTTCTGATAAACTTAGTATGTTACTCAGGGATCTTTTGCCAACATTTAAAAATATTTAAGCTATAATACAGTACTTATTTTTACTTCTTCACCTTGTTTTCTTCATATTCAAAATAAGTAAACTAGATATCCTGCAAAATTTCTTTCATCGAATAGACCCTATTCAAAAGGTTTAGCAATTATAGCCACAAAGGACAGAACCAAATAGAAATCTCACTTCTAAAGCAAATTTTGTTGCCAGTGTGCTTTATGTATTTTCTTAGCTGGTTCAAATGGTAGATATCTAAGGTGCACAAGAGTAGCTAACAAGACAGTAGAAGAAAAATTAGAATATGTATATATATTTCTTAAATGAAAAATACTTAAGCCTTACTGATATTTAACATATGGGATAATAATAATATAAATACATGTATTTTGAAGTTGCACAAGCAGACTTTTTTGTGTTATTTAGTATATAACCTAAATCATTTAGTGTCCACTGGATTGAAGTTCTGTGCTAATAAGGTGATGTTCACGGCTGTTTTCAGTTTTAGGCCAGTGCTGATGTCATTCTGTTTTCAAGCCATATATGTGATTGCAATATCTGATTGAGCCAGCCATCTTGGAAATGCATACTATTACTTATTTCTGGGACAGTCTAAAACAGGAGCATCATTTGGAGTACAAATACTATATTAAAGTTACAGATTTTTTTCTTATGGTAATAATAATAATACATGTACATTGTAGGCAACTTGAAAGGTAGTACGTAGGGACAAAGAGACCTCATTATTCCCATTCCTAAAGATGGTAAAGAAGTAACAAATCTCTTGCTTGTAATAGATATATTTTATTGTTTTATGACTATTTCTTTACTACTACATTATTTTTTGTTTCATTTCTGCTGTGTTTTCTTAAAGAGAGAGACTCATGGAATTGTAATGTTGGAAGGAACAATGCTTATAATTCATGTTTGATAATTTTCTTTTCTTAAACCCCTATTTCAAATGTTTACCTGATCTTACTTATTCCTTATTAGATATGACTTTGAATTTCTTCTTTCATTCCTAGTGCATTGTCTCAGTTGAGATCTGGATTATCTCATTCCTATAATACTTAAAGGCCAAAGACTTTGACTTTTCATTGTTGTAGTAATTTGAAGGAAGAGACAGGAAATAATATTTAATGGATACCATTACTCTGCTGGATACTTTGCATATATTACACATTGCATTTCATCCTTATTATTTATTTATTTATTGGGTACTGGGAATTGAACTCAGGGCCTCATGCTGAAAAGTCAGGTACTGTTATTCATAGTTTTATCCAATGAGGCTGAGAGCAAATAAGTAGTTCCATTTTGCAGATAAGGAATAATCTTAGGGAAATAAGAGAATGTGCCCAAGGTCCCACAGTTAATAAATGGTGGATTTTCTATTTGGGCCTGTGCATTCCATAGTGTCTTGAAGGACTGGCATATAAAGAGACACATTGAAGTGCAGTGCAGTGCAGTGCAGTGCAGGTAAGTGATTTTGATAGAAGCCTGGACAGAATGCTGTTTGAATTAGTATCTTCTAGAGGAATGGTACGGGTCTTCTTTTTTTTTTTTTTTTTCCTCATTGAGTTTATTGGTACATTTTAGTTATACAGTACAGTTACATTCATTATTGGGATCTTGTACCTTTACAAGACAGGCCTTGGTTCTCATTTTTTCCCCTTGTCCCTTCCCTCCCTTCACCCCCTTCTCCCCTCCCCCTTTACAAACACTTCATTTCCATTTTTTCATTTTCTCATATTTTTTTCTTTTCCCTTATTAGCTTTCCCCTACCCTTCCCACTTTCCCTACACCTTTAGCCCCTTTCTTCTTATTTCACATTGTCTATTAATTGGTACAGGTCTTGAATGTAATCTCCATGAGGGCAGGGGCCTTGTTTTATTTTCTTGTTTATCCATATCTCAAGAGTTCTAGCACATGGTAATAGTATTTGATAAGTTTTTTCTTAATTGGTCAGTAGTTGAGCAGGTGTAATTGAGTTAGAGGTAGCATTAACAACAGGTTCAAAAAGGCAAGAATTGTGCAGGGACCTGTGGTATTTAGGAAATATTCCAGAGAGACAGATCAATACATATGATTGGTTGCTGGTAAGTCAGTTATATGATCTTGCTATATCAAGGATAGTTCATGTAAAAATTAAATTTTTAATTTTGATTTTTATTATGTGGAAAGGAAATAATCTTAAAAGATGTCATAAAATGTGAAATAGTCATATATTGATAAGCTGATTGGAAACGACTCCTACTGCTACTTATCCCTTAGAAGAATCTAATGTAAAAAATCTAAGTGTTTTTTTATTCTTTCAGTGACACTGGAACAATGGCTCCAGAAAAGTGCTTGTTTGGGGCAATGCTTAATATTGCTGCGTTTTTATGTAAGTAGCAAGAGTGGTTGTAAGAAACACAATTGATAGGTAAATTCCTTTGTTCTTTAAATGCTAGTGTGTTATTTATTTTGTAGCTGTACTTGAGCAAATGTAATCACTAAGTAATTTATTATGGTTATGCCCTTTTTAAAAGAAAAAACCTTACAGAATTGCTGAATTATGGAGATAAATCTTTAAGAAAAATAGCTATAGAGCTAGTTGAGTACTAATTCAGTAGAAGTTGTAGGTATAACCAAATTTTCCTTGAGGCCTTAAATGGACTTCTTAGGTAGATAGTAATTTGGCAAAATTGTAGCTACAGCTGACTACCGTTAAATTTCATTAGGTTAGAAGTTTAAGAATAGAGATGGAAGTATTATTTGATTTTTGTGTTATATTCTAAAGCTAAAGGAACCCACAGTAGAGTTTTACTTTACTGTTAATTTATTTTTGACCCAAATTTTTATTGATTTAGTAAAGTATTTTTTCCATCAAATGTGATCATTTTAAATATTAACTTTTTTTTTTTTTTTGTGGTACCAGGGATTGAATTTGGGACCTTGCTCTTGGCAGGCAGGCATGGTGTGTGCTAAGCTAAATCCCTGGCCCTAAATATTCACTTTTATCCATATGATATTTTTTATTTGCTTACATCAGAAACAGAAGTCAGGAAAATTATTTATTGTACAGAAATACAATCTGAAATAAAATTATATGAAAATAAGGCAAGTGAGAGTTCAGAGTTTTTTGCCAAAGCTCATTTCATCCAAGCTCTAGAATAGTTACTTTTTACTTTGATGCTAATCATAAAAATATTTTGATTATACAACTCTAATTGTGAGAAAATTTCAGAAGATATCAAACTTACCTCTAAAATTTTATACTCAATATTTGTAGATATGAGATGAATGGAAGGCACATAACTTGCTCAGGCATACAGAGATACCAGTGGTTCAAAGATGCAACCTTAATAGTCCTTTAAAATTGACTTTCATGTGTTTATGTGTTCTCTCAGATTAATTTAAAAAGGAAAATCTGTGCTTGTTCATGGCAGTGACCTTTGTGAAGTCTTCTTTGGCAACTTTATTCCCTGGTTATTTATTACTCTGTTGTTTTTCGGCTTGTCTCTTCCCAGGCCTTGCTACCATTTATGTTCGTTATAAGCAAGTTCATGCCCTGAATCCTGAAGAGAACCTTATCATCAAATTAAACAAGGCTGGCCTTGTACTTGGAATACTGAGTTGTTTAGGAGCTTCTCTTGTGGCAAATTTCCAGGTTTGTATTTTAGCCCAGCATGGGGTATTTTCCTGAAGTACATAAATATACATGTTAAAAAGAAAACCTGAGGGCAAGGGATTTACCTCAGTGGTTCTGCTGCCTGCCCTGCAAGGACCTGAGTGCGATACCAGGTGCCAAAACAAAACAAAACAAAAAAACCCTGAAACATTCATTTAAGTGCTGCTGTTGTTCCTTATCCTTAACAAAACAAAATCCACTGCCTTCATATTATTTGATTCTGTTAGGAAAAAGCTATTTTTATAATTAGAACAATTCATATTCAATATTCTGAATAAATATATTCTTTTTTTGAGTCCACAGGACAATTATTAGACTCTATTACTATTTAGTTGGAGATTATGTCAAGACCAAACAGAGCACTAATATAAACTATGTGATATATTTAGAGATTTAAACATTGGCTTTTTTGTTTTTAATATATATGACAAGTTACAGTCATTTCATTATTCCATATTCTTGTTTGGATGGTTCTTTTGGTTGCCTCCATTCCTAGGTGCCCAACCTTGTACATGACATAAAGGAGTAGTGATAACATTTCTAGCTTTTTCCCAGAGAATTCTTTTTTTTTTTCCTTTTTATTGAGTTTATTGGTACAGTCTAAGTATACAATACAGTTACATTCATCATTGGGATCCTGTACCTTTACATAATAGGTCTTGATTCTCATTTTTTTCCCTTGTCCCTGCCCTCCCTTCATCCTCTTCTCCCCTCCCCATTTACAAACACTTTATTTCCATTTTTTCAGTTTCTCATATTTTTTTCCTTTCCCCCACCCTTCCCACTTTCCCTATACCTTTAGCCCTTTCTTCCTATTTCACATTATTAATTATCTCATTAGGATCCTGTGTACTATTATAGTTTTTCACACCAGAGAAACTATTTGGTATTTCAGTTAAAGAAATCTCCCAGAGAATTCTTAACGTTAAAGTAGCAGTCAACTTTCACCAAATATAGTCATGTGATTGGGGTTGTTGCCTTCTGAGAAATGTATTATTAGGCAGTTTTGTTGTGCAAACATTATAGATTGCTCTTCCATAAACTGGACTATGACATCACCATGCAATATAGTCTTTATCTTTATGCTACATAATAACTACATTCACCTTTGAGAATTGGTACATATGCATATCACATCTTGATCATTTATACTGTCCCTCTCTATTCCCTCCCCATACAACCTTAACTGAGCCAATATTGTATACTTGATCTATTGTTGACAGAAATGTTATTATGTAGTATGCAACTGTATTGCAAACTTTTTACATTCTTGTCTTTAACATCCTTTCAGAGGAGTCTATATTAGTGATTGCACCCTGGGTAGATGCTTTTTGATTAATCTCTCTGTATTAAAGTTTTAATTTAGACATTTGATAACTTGCAGCCACAGTGATCTTTTGGAAGTGTGCAAGTATTTTCACTCTGTTTCCCTGTACCATTGCTTAAAGTTAGACAGCTTCAAAAATTTCAAAGAAAAAAGAGAATCAAGAGAGGGGAAAAAATTATTTGATAAATTCCTAAATTATTTAATGAACACAAAGGTATTATATAATCTGGTTCTTATCTATCTCTCTAGCCTCATTCTGTATTATTTCTGTTCTTAATGTCTCCATTTATATAATCCTGGCCCTTTTTGTTCCTTAAACTGGACAAGATTTTTTAACTCTTTCATATGTTGTTGTGCATGCCACAACTCCCTGATCAAAATGAATTTAGACATCTTAAGACCTCAAAGTTGACCATACTGCTCCGGGGATGTCTTTCTATCAGTACCTATTGCAGTATATTGAGTTTTTGTTTTTTGTTTTTAAGCCTCTGATAACATAGCTCTTATTACAGTCTAATTTCATATCAGTGGTTTAAAATTTTATTTATCAGCCAAGCATGTTAGTGCATCCCAGAATTTTAGGACTTGGAAGACTGATGCAGGAGGGTTGGTTCAAGTTTGAGGCCAGCCTGGGCTAGAGAATTTAAGGCCAGCCTGAACTACATAGTGAGACCCTGTCTCAAAAAACCAGAAATAAAATTATTTATCAATTTTTTTCGTTTTTGTATTTCTTCATAAATTTTAAGTGCTGTGGTTCACAATTGTATCTCTAGCACCCAGCAGTGTACTTAGCATAAATGTAGTCTTGTTAATTATATAGGAATTTACTGAGATATGTCAAAGGGACTAAGTAGGTTGGAAAAACATTGTTCGTCTCTATTGTTTGCCTGTATTTAAAGAGATGACTAAAAATTGCTATGTTATTTGAAAAATATAAAAAAATATAAATTCTTGAAAACATGCCTACTGTATATAGTATTCAATAAAACAAATACATGATAAATGTACTCAGTGCCCAGTTAGAGGAATTTTTTCCTTTTAAGAAATTTATCCTGCAGGAGACCAGGGGATAAGTAATCAGAAATATGTATTAGCTTCCTTGAGCTGCCATAACAAAATACCACCAGCTAAATAGTTTAAAACAAGAGAAATTTAGTCCATCAAAGTTTATAAGACTGGAAATCCAAAATCAAGGTTGATGGTAGTGCTAGTTCTTTGTTGTGTCTCCAGGATGAGCATGTTTTCCTAGCTTCTGGTGTTTGAGGTAATTCTTCATATTCTTTGGCTCAGGGCAGCCTGATTCTTAATTTATTTCTTGTCATCAAGTGATATTCTTTCTTCCCAGAAAATTTATTCTCAAGGAGACTTTGGAAAGGCTAAGAATAAGTGAGCAGAAGATTAATTCCTGAGTTTCATTAACTACTTTTAGGTAAAGGTTATAGATCACTCATAGGTAAGGTATAAATTCTATAACCTAAGATTTGTTTCTGACCACTTCTGTACTTTCTCTAGTTTCTGTCTTGTCAACGGATAAATTTTGTATTTATTTTGTTACAGGATATATTTTTAAGTTGGTTAAACTTTTGAACATGTGTCAAAGATTTTTAACTTAATTAATCACAAGAGTAGTCAGGGTACCACACATTGATAGAGAATGTTGAAATGAACTTGGGAATGGATGCAAAATTGGACATAATTCACAATCTGATAATCAGTTATATTCCACAGGACACATTACATTCCTCTGGATAAGGATTATTAGTTACTATCAATTTGGATTGAATTATCTTTTCTTACGCGAGTGAAAATTTTATTTTTTTAAAATGTAAATCTTGTTTAAATTAACTTCTTTCTCTCTATATAACTCCTGTTATGTTTGCTCTGTAACATAGCCTAGTCAAAATCACATAAGGGCTCCTTTCTGTAGGGCCAGCAAATTGCCAGAGGCTTTAGTATTCCATTAGGAAGGAATACTTTCAGTAATCTCAAGATCTTTCCTTTTATCTCTAAAATGATAAAACTAAATATAATAAGCAGAAAAATGGCCAGTAAAACCAGTTTTATATACTCCCATTTCATTAATAAAAAAAATAGTAAATGTTTTCCACTCTTTATTTTTTGCTTCTTAACTCTTGGGGTTTTGTTAAACTCTACTATATATTGACATCGATTAGGCAGTATCTATATTTAGCTTCATCAAAATGTAGTACCCCAAATCCTATGCAAGTAGCTCTTTCCGAAACAGAAAGCAGAAATCTATTCTTTGTATTAGGTATTGCCTATAACTAAGAAGATTGATTTAAGAAAATTGAACCTTATTATAATTTAGTACAGATTGTAAAAGAAGGCAACTGAACCTAATTTATCTTTTGTTGTTATTTTAGTCATTAAGTACTCTCAGTATGTTTTCATCTGAAGAAAATACAAATGACATCAGTTTAGAAAAAGAGCAATTCAACCAAAAACTTTCATGTGGTTTTATGCAGAGGGCATATATAGTTGTCATTTTAGGCACAGGTTATATAATGTTAAGAGTAAAATGTAAGTGGATACCTATAAGAAGAGTAAGGTACAAGAGAAAAATATATAATCCCTGTCATATAATCAAAACCAAATCAAACAACACAAAGAAAGAATGTTTTCATTTCTTGAGCCTTTAAATTACATTTATATTTAAGTTGTTAAACTTCTTATCCGTCACACTTGCAGCTATCCAATCCTCTGTACCTTGCACTACTCTTTTTTTACACTTACCACTATGTAACATATTGTGGAATTTCCTTATTTCTAAAGTTTATTTATTGTTTGTATATCTTCACTAGAATGTAAACTCAGTGAGGGCTGCATTTTGCCTCTGTTGTTCACTATTTATCTGAGGAGTTTTACAGCAGTGGTTGGCATCTGATGGATACCCAAAAGGTGTATTAAATGAGTAGAAGAATGAGTTACTATCATATTTTTATAGTAATGTATGAAATTATTTGGTTTTGTTGTAATCTTCAGGTTTATGTTGTTAGGACAGACAATTCAGAAGTAATATGCATGTGAAATTTGCGGTTTCTCCACTCAGTGAATATCCAGTGGAGATCTCTGACTTGTACTTTTAAATATTGTATTGCCAGTGTGTTCTGAATTTCTTTTACTGACTTCTTTCTTTTTCTTTCTGTTTTTTCTTTCTTCTCAGAAAACAGCCCTTTTTGTTGTACATGTCAGTGGAGGTGTGCTCTGTTTTGGTATGGGCTCATTTTATATGCTTGTTCAGACGATCCTTTCCTACCTAATGCAGCCCAAAATTCATGGCAAACAAATCTTCTGGATCAGACTGCTGTTGCTTATCTGGTGTGGAGTAAGTGTACTTAGCAGTATCCTTCACTCTAGTACAGCTATAACTGGAAGGGAACTGAGTAACAAAATTTAAGGGAACTCTATTGGCACAGTGTAAGCAGCTTTGTGGTAGGAGAGTTTCTTAGGTTAATAACCCTAAACTGAAGGAGTTAAAATATTAAATTCAGAGTGAAATTCAATAACTCAGCTAGAAACAAATTGTTTAGGTTTGTCATGCTTACTCCAAAAAATGAAGGATGAGTTAATGCTGTCCCTACAAATAATTATTAGAAGTTTATGATAGAACCGCTAATTTACCAAGCAGAGAGAGAGGGATTGACTGTGAGAACCATTTTATGGTAATCTTCTGGGCACATTTTCAGTTTTACTGCTGCCGTATGACATTAAATATTTAAGAAAATGTATTTGGACTTTGTCAAAAAATGTGTGAGTTATCCTTTTAGACTTTGAAAATGATTTCTGTTTTGGATTTAAATTAAACTTAGATCTTCTCTGTGATTCTTCCTTGACTTACTTTCTTTTTTATAGTGTTAACTTGCTCATCACTTTTGTACAGTGGTGACTTTGGCACAGATATAGTACAAAAACTTCACTGGAACCCCAAGGAGAAAGTAAGAATTTAAAGTTTGTAAAAACTGGTATCTTATTAAATATGACTGTTTTGAGGTATTTCCATTTTATCACTAACAAAGAAACTTCCTTGATAGAACAATCAATTATTTATTAAGATTCATTTTCTAGTTATGACTGAGTTTAGGTAGAACCATCCATATTTTAAGACAGTGAGATAATTATGATGGCTGAGAATTTTCTCAAGAATTGACTCCTCTAAACATGGACATAGTATACTACCTGAGGTTTATAATTATTAGAATATTTTTTTTCTGAATTAAAAAGATACCATCTTCCACTTTATGTTATATGAAAATTTCTGGGCTCTGCATTTGGTTTCCAGTAGAGTGGATATGTGCATCAAGACAACATCTTTGAACTTGATCTTGAGAATAAAAGAGAGAAGAAAAGCAGACAAAGATAATAAAAGGGAAAAGAGATAAATGAAATTATGTTTTTACAAATGACTTCATGTTATTTTACTTTAAACTTTTTAACAGACTCAGCCCTGATTAGAATATATTTGTGAGAATGAATGAAATAACGTACTAGATTTTCCTAATTATAATCTATATATTATTTAATACTGTAAAAGTCACCCTTACTAAAGCTTACAGTAAGCATTATTAAACTTTTAATACTGGCCATTAATAAATCATGTTGCTTTTGGAAAAGTGATAACTACCTGTGGTGGATTAGAAATTCTTCTTGTTTTCTTATAAATGGAAATTTTATTTTTTCTGGGTGATACTGTTTCATTTGAGAGGAATTCCTAAGGTCTAGCTTTAATTCTCAAGATATGTTCAATAAATTTTGATTTTCAGAAGGCAAAATGGTTTATAAATATTTAAGCTTTTTAATTTGACAATATTATAATTATTTGAATGAAATATCACAGAAGTATTTCTTCTCCTGTCTCATTCAAGGGTTATGTGCTTCATATGGTCACTACTGCAGCAGAATGGTCTATGTCATTTTCCTTCTTTGGTTTTTTCTTGACTTACATTCGTGATTTTCAGGTAAGAAAACATAGACTTGATTTAAGCAGGCAAACTTCCTTCAGGTTTAGTTAGAGAAAATTCCTTGGTAAATCTCCAATCTTAAAAATTAGTTACTTAACATCTGTCTCCATAAACAGTGTTAAGAAAAGGGCAACTTCTCCAGTGAAATTATTTGAGTTTGGGAAAGTAATGTATTATTAGCACATTCAGCCTTGTATTTGGAGTTGTAAAACATATTTGAAGAAAATTTTTCATAGAATTTTAATGTTCTTTATACATTTACATAAACCATACTCAGTATTTAGTTTTATTGACTAAAATAATAGAAACTAAAGAAAAATGGAACTTTCTAAAGCTTGGTTTTTCCAGAGTACTTGGTACTAAGTCAGGATGATCCCTTTGACAGTGCAACAGCCATCTTATTACTCCTTCAGCTGATTTATATTTCTAATCGAAGATAGTCTATAGAATGTATTAAAGAGGCAATTGCTAAGGAGCAAGTTTCTCTATGTAATTTTCTCTTCTGTTACAGAAAATTTCTTTACGTGTGGAAACCAATTTACATGGAATAACCCTCTATGATACTGCTCCTTGCCCTGTTATCAATGAACAAACACGACTACTTTCAAGAGAATTTTAATGAAAGGATAAAAGGTTTCTTTGATGTTTATGATTCTCAGGGATAGGGGGAAAATTCACAAACACTGCTTACACTCTGAAATTTTCAACCAGTTAAGGCTATCTGTGACACTGATGAATAGTGATAATCAGGAGACGTAAAGCCATTTGATAGTTATTTTAAAGGATATCATTTAAAAATATTTATGCCTGTACTTTTTATCATAGAAAATAAAACCAAAGGACTACAGCATTGTAATTTTTTTCTACTTTAGGAGAAACAACCTGAAGTGTACCAAGCAGTCTGTATATCTCAGCCTTTCACAATTTATAAGTAAAAGCATGTTTTAATAGGAACACTTTCATGAAAGACATTTTCTATTACCCTGAATAATCACTATTGGTCATAGTTTAGAATTGATTTTTGAAGTTCAAGTATTACAGTCTTAACACATTTCTTTTAGTCTTGGAAAAAAAATTTTTTTCTTCTGGTATTTGTATATGGGAGAAGTGAATTCATTTATAGCATAATCTTTACACAAGTGATTCTACCATAAGTCCAGGTACGATGCTAACTGAAGTATCATACATGCTTGCAGTAGTTTCATGAAGCCTAGTCTCTGATGTGAGATTTTAATTACCAGACAAGAAGAGAGGTATCTGTAGTAAATTTATTTCTATCATGTTTTATATCAAACAAGGGTTAGTATTCATAAGTGAGACGATCACTGTGAGTTTGGGTCCAGCCTGGGCTATGTAGCCAGACCATGTCTGAAAAAAAGGAAAACATTAGAACCGCAACAAAGTCCAACTCCCTGTCAAATGCAGATCAGATTGATTTAGTGTCCCACTCCTGACAAAAGAAGGGTAATACCTTATTCTAAAGGGAACTGTTATTGATTTTCATATCTATTGTCCTTTTATAGAAAATACCCAGTACACAGTAAAAAAATTACAGGATGTGCAAAGGAGCAGAAAAAGTCGATTGAAAGGTGAAAGTCAATAGAGGCAAACTCATATTAACAGATGTTTGAATTGTTTGAATGGTTTTGGGTTGACAATAATGATAAAAATGCTGAAAGAGGTAGCAAGAAAAGGTAGGAGGAAGGAGACATGTATGAAGAAATAAAAGATTTTAGCAGAGACCTGGAAACAGAAAAATACAAACAATTCTAGAATATAACCTAAGATAACATAGAAAGGAATAGATTCATAAACTTGAAAACAGGGCAATTGAAAATTTACAAAGTTTAGAAAGAGGATTGGGTTGGGGATTTAATTCAGTGGTTCTGCTACTTTCCTTGCCAAGCGCAAGGTCCCGAGTTTGATCCCTGGTAAAAAAAAAAAAAAAAAAAAAAAAGCATTGACAGTAGAAGAATATCAAAAGTAATAAAGTATCTGAGATTTGAAGACAAAATCAATTAGTTTGCCATCCCTGTAATTGAGCTACAGAAGCAGATTTTAGAGAATGGTACAGAAGAAAGGTTCAGACATCTTGACAATGAATTCCTCTGAAATTTATGGAACTCAGCACAGGAAAAAAAACCTATACAGGTCTCTTAAATAATTAAAATTGGTAAGCACTTAGCAAAGACTGATATACCAGGCTGAATGTATCTTTCCCCCAAATTTATATTCGCCTGGAACTACAGTGTCACCTATTTGGGAATCGGGTTTTTAGAGAAATCAGTAACTTCCATTAAGGTTGGCCTTAAATGACTGATGTCCTTATAAGAAGGCCATGGAGAAACATAGGCATATTGAAAAGGCCATGTGAAAATGGAGGCAGAGATTAGAGTTAATCAGCTACAAACTAAAGGTGTACATAAGGCAAAGCTAAGAAGAAGCAAAGAAGGATCCTTTCCTGGAAACTTTAGAAGGAATCTTGATTTTTTTTTTTTTTTTTACCTCTAATATCTAGAACCATGAGCAAGTAATTTGTGTGTACATGTGTGGTACTGGGTATTGAAAAGAGGGCCTGTGTATGAGTTACATTCCTACCCCTATTTTAAATTTAGAGACAGAATCTTGCTAAATTTCCCAGGCTGAGTTCAAACTTCTAATACTCCTGCCTTACCCTCCGAGAGTGCTGGGATTACAGGTGTGCACCACCACACCCAGGATAAATTTGTTTTAGGCCACCCAGTTTATGATTTTTTGTTATGGCAATTAGGAATTATTCAAGTTAAAAAGATCATAACCATGCCTGTTGTGTGGTGCAGGGAGATGGTCATCCATATCCTGTAGTGCTGCTACCTCACCCCTTACCCTGTAGGGTCTGTATCCATAGGACCCTCATTCCCACTCCTCGGGTACCACCCAGGAAGATTACCTACCCTCTCTTTCAGGAGGGCTCCCTCCCACCCCCAGGAGCAGGAACTTATCATTTTCCCTCCTTTGAAAGTGCAAAGGCATGAAGAGCTCCCCTGCCACTTCAGGGGTGGAAGCTCTATATTCATTATGCTATCCTTGTCTGAACTAAAGAACAGTTGTAAAAAAAAAGCCCGTTTGTTAGAGGTAGCAATTGGGCACAGGTCCTTCTCTAGTGTCCTGACTTTTGCTAGCACTACCATACCACAGACAGTGCCTGGAGGGCTGAGGCCTGTATTCTCTACCTGCTTGTTTTGCCCCTGTCTCTGGCAGCCCATTTCCTGAATTTCCCATTTCTAGAACTTTTCATCCATCCACTCCCTGATATTTTTCCATTTACTGATGTAGCTGTGGAATTATCAAAGAGACACTAGCTACAGCTACTGCAGGAGCTTCAGGAAGTATAGGAGGGAGAGTGGGAGCAAGAGCCTTAGGAGGGTGGAGGCTGGTATCCAAACCAGTATGAATACCAAGGCAGAATTATAAGAGAGGTTGGAAAGGTATATGAGAATTATGATGTCAGTGATTGACATTCTCAATGTGTTATGTATGCAAACCTCCCTCTGGCATGAGAAAATCTACCTGGACCTCCTTTACTCTTATCCTCACAGAACCTGCCCAAGCCCAAAAGTGTTACTAGGACATGGTTCTGACAAGTCATGTAGCATGAATATTATCAATAAAATCAGCTCGCTATCAGTGGAGAAGTACCCGAAGTTGCAGGATATCTACTGTATGCAGTTGGTGTGTTTGGTTTGCGAATGAGTGAAGAGTGGAGTTCTGGGAGCCAGTGGAGTTTATATGACATTTATGAAGCAGGTTGCAGGTGCAGATGTGACACCCAAAAATATCTGGTTGGCAAGAAGTGTTCTGAATATCCTGATTGAGCAGAGGGAATGGGTACTGAACAGTAGTATCCTTTTCACCATGGCAGTTTACACATACCTCCACCTCATTGTTGACCGCAATGGGACTGGGTCCAGGTTCTATGGCAGAAGGAAGTATATCACTGTGATGTAATATTTGATGATTGGCCAAGATCTCATAAGACCACATCAGAATGTTGCTAGGATACCAGAATTTCAACTGCCTAAGAACGATAGTACTTAACACTCAGGCCTTGAATCCTCAGTACAGATTTTTCATTCAAGAACATCTCAGAAACCCCTATTCTATCAACCTTCAGCTTCTTCAGTCAAAAACATCTCAGAAATCCCTAGCAAGTCGTCAAACCCCAGACATGGAGACTAAACTCTGACATCTTGGTTGCAGTTTGGTCAACAAAAGGAGTAACAAGATTGGTTCCAGTGCTAGTTTCTGTTCAACCTCAGTTTCTGTGCTGTGACCTTATTTGCTACATCGTTGAAGTAGTACACCCTTCTAATGAAGTTTTGAGTTCAAATATCTTGCCCTAATGGATCATCATTTGTTGTCTCTTGACAACATGGGTGTCAAATGTTACCTTGTCTAATGACAAACTGGCCTTATAACTGGCTGTTCTTTCATCCAGATAAACATGGCTTGATGAAGAGAGGCATCTGTCCTGGTCATACATCACTCCTTGAAGCCTCATCCAGCCATCATTGCCACACTCCTTCATGCACCGTATTATTCTCTGTCCTGGTCATCTGTCTATGGGAACTTTTAAAAGCCCATTTCTGTGGAGAGGTGCTGCCCCAAGAGGTCACTGAGGAATCCCAGGAAGAGTGAAGGGAAATTTATCTGCCTAATATTTTGGATCCTGTGCCAGATGCAGGAAAACAACTGCAGCATCTCTGCTTCTAGACCTCTCCAAGGTGTATTAGAAGCAGCCCAAAAATTGGCTACCACCTGCTCAATAATTTCAAAGCCAGCAAAGCTGCCTCAGGGAAGATGAACATGGCCTAAATTACCCAGTATGGTGATTTGTACACTTGCCTAATGATGGATGTGAAGGCCTGCCTGGAGGATAACATGAGGCTGCTGTACCACCTCATGCTCTCCCTCTACAGTTTTCAGATGAAACCTTGAAAAGTAGGAAGCTCATGCATGATTGTATTAACTCAGCATGACTTCAGGAGCTGGTCTGCTGTATGATAATGGAGAACCTAGTCATGTTTTGATATGACTCAGACTTTTAACATAGTCATCTAGAGCCTGGAATGGGAAACTTGAGCAGTCTTCTGTCTGGCAGCTTTTCCTTGCCAACATCCTCCTGGAGACCATAATCACCATTCTGTAGCATGTTATATACAAGGAACACCAGAGGCCTTATCCTTCCCACTGCTTCAGAAAGCCCAGTGAGGAAATAGTAAAGATGATGTTGAACCAGTCCTGCCATTCTTGGGACCAATTCACCACCATCAGCCTGTGGCACTGACACATAAAGCACGATAAGCTGCCAGGGGAGCACATTGAGTTCCTGCTGTTCAAGAAAAACGGCCTCTCTCATATGCAGCTGAGAAGGAGCTGAAGAGCTCCAGCAACAAGCTGGCCCATCTGACTCGAGCAGATCCTGTAGTACCTGGATAACCTGAAGCTCAATCTGGCCAACACCAAGCAGAACTGTTTTAGCCAGAACTAATACTTGAAGTAGGCAAGCTCTGACAAAGACCACAAATTGAACTTCAGTGATCATCTTTTCCCTGGGGATGGACTCTTTCACTAAGCCACACAAGAGCCAGTGAAAGGCAGATCTGTTCATCCCTCCAAGTTAGAAGAATGCCACTTAGCCTCCCAAGGTTGAGGAAGATAGGTTCCTGCAGTGCTTAGGAGAAAATATACAAAACCCAAGCCCAACATGTAGAAATGAAAAGGGCCCTTCACAGTGGATTCTGACAGTGACTGAGGCCCTCTATTCCCATGCTACTCCAGTTGGACTGCCCTCTTTCCTGGTGAATCATAGGATAATGGGGCTTGCGAGAAATAGGGGACACACCCTTTCCCTCCTGAAGTTTGCCAAGTGGGAGAGGTGAACTACTTCCTGTGGTACAGCCTGAGAAACTGCCATGCAACTCCCCCCATACCACCTCCCTGCTTCCACCTCCACTCCTGCTCCCAAATTGGGTTCTCATGGCAGCCAGAGGCTGACTGTGGTTTAGCACTATCCTCCTGGTCTCCCAAAATGCTAGTTCAGTAGAGAGGGACAGTGATAACAGGGCCACTGGGCAGAGAAGCTAGGATGAGAATAGATAATTAGTGTATGGGTATCTCTTCCTGCTTTCTCCACTATCTTGATTTCTTCTGGACAGACATCTTGTCAGCATGCCTACAATAGTGTGGTGAATTGAGTTTCTCACTTGTGGTCCTTGACCATTCTGGGCAGTGTTATAACCTTCAGAATTAACCTTGAAAGGCCCCAACCTGAAGTGCTCTGCCCAGGAAGGTTGAGTTGGCCTAAGGTTGGCACCTCAAGCTGGGTCAGAGCCCAGGGGAGTCCCAGAGGCAAACTCCTCATAACTGAAATGTTTCCATTTCCTTGGTTTTGTATTTTGCTTTTTTGTTCTCTTCTCCTCCACCTGTTCTTTTTCTTCTCACCCCTCCTCATTTTTATGTCTACGTTGGCAGAGATAGTCATGTTTTAAAAGTTGGTTTTAAATGCAATAAGAAGAGCCATAAAGCAAAAACAACACAAAAATTGCTAATACCAGGTGAAAATGGGAGATCCCATAACCTTTTGATATTAAAGGTACAGTAAAGGCATGTTCTAAACAACTTTATTCCAATAGGATGAATAATTTAAATGAAGTGAACACATGCCTTTGAAACACAGTTTGTCAAAAATGGTGTAGAACAAACGAAATAATTTGTATTTGTTGAAATACTGAATTGAAAATCACAAACCTTGCCAGAAAGAAAATTTGAGGCTTGTATTACCTCATTGGAAAAGTCTGTCAAATACTATACACAAACTAAAAAATCAGAAAACAATTTTGAACTTAGAAGGCCAGGAAAACCCCAGTAACAAAGTGACAAAAATATTACCGTAAAAGAAAAGGATCAAGCTTCCTTGTCAATATTTATGCAAAATAAAAGATGAAGTGGATATAGATATTTTCTCACAAGAGTATGGGGCCCAAATTCAGAAATTATTGTTCCCCAAATCAATCTTATTTCACTTTTAATCTATCTGTCTAATGAAACATGAGTAAATTCTCTCTGGGGAAAAATAATATCTTCTACAGTTTCAAATTATGTCTACAATTTTTCACATTGAAATATATTCAAATGAGTATATGGGAAAACCAGAATTGATCAAATACCAAGAAAACATTTTGGATCTCAAGGATACCAAATTAGGAAATCAACAGATATTAACTTTAGTATAACTAAAATTAGATAACAAATTTAAGCATTTGGCAAAGAACTGAAAACTATAATAATCAAATATATATTCTAGGACTAAAACTTGTAATGATATAATTGCTAAGTTAGTAGCAAATTAGCAAACTGCAAGTTTGGTTGGGGAAAATATTTAAGTGGAGTCACAGGCAAAGAAGTGAGTGTTAGGTGAAAGACAGTAAGATGCATTAAATACATTGAAAAAGATTATTTTGGACTGAAGGAGGGTGCTAGAGAATGGCTAAGAATGTTATAAGACATATCATTTTAAACATTCAGAGTTGTTTTAAACCTCATGCAAGGTCAGTGAAATTCAGATACCCAGATACATTATAGTAAAATTGCTAAAAATCAATGACTTTGGAAATCTTCAAAGTATATGAAAAAACAATAGCTTTTCTATATGGCAAAATAAACCACCAGAGAAAGAAATCAGGAAAACAATGCCAGTGGTCATAACAAAAAACAAAACAAAAGCAAATCCATCGAGTGAAAGACCACTAGAGTGGAGATTACAGAACACAAGAAAGATGTCAGGAAAGACACCAGAAGATAGACCTCACATGTTTATGGATCAGCAGAATTAATATTAAAGTGGCTATGTTACCAAAATACTCTTCACAGATCTAGAAAAAATAATCCTAAAGTTTATATGGCATCAAAAAAGACCTAGAATAGCCAAATCAATCCTAAACAAAACAATACTGGTGACATCATAAGACTCAATTTCAAAATATAGGACAAAACCACTTGTAACAAAAGTAGCACAGTACCATCACAAAAATTGACATATGCAAAAATCAAATAGGATAGAATACACAGAAACCTACAAACCTACACCCATCCAGTTTGCAGCAAAAGGGGCAATACAAATTGGAGAAAAAACAACCTCTTTAACAAATATGCTGGGAAAACTGGATATCCATTTGTAGAATATCAAAACTATCTCATCCTGTACAAAAACCAATTCAAAATTTATCAAGGACCTAGGTATAATAAGACTTGACACTTTTAGAGGAAAACAGGAAACACTGAGTCATAGGCATAGGCCCCCACAAATATAAAGACCCAGTTTAAAAATGGGCTTCTGAAATGAACAGACATTTCTCAGACAGAGAAGTAAAAGTAGCAAATATATGAAAAAAAGTTCAACATCACTGGTCATTGAGGAGATGCAGATGAAAACAACACAGATTCCACCTCACCTCAGAATGGCTGCTATCAAGAAAACCAATAACAAATTCTGGTGGGGCTGTGGGGACAAAGGTACCCTTTTCCATTGGTGGGAGTGCAGAGTGGTGCAACCACTGTGGAAATCAATATGGAGACACCTCAAAGAGCTGGGACTAGAGGTTCCATTTGACCCAGCCATCCCTCTGCTGGGTATCTTTCCAAAAGAATCAAAGAATCATATCACAGAGATACACGTGTACCCATGTTTATAGTAGCACAGTTTGTAATAGCTACAACTTGGAAACAACCCAAATGCCACTCGACTGGATACTGGATAAAAAGATGTGGTTTTTCTATAAAGTGGAGTACTACTCAGCAATAAAGAATTAGAAACATTTATCACTAAATGGATGCACATTGAGGCTATACTCTTAAGTGAAATAAATAGGACACATGAGTAAATACTGTATAGTTTCTCTGGTGTGAAAAACTAAAAGTGTAAATAAGTTTCAAATGGTAGAATTGAGAAATAGGAACAAAATGGCTAAAGGGGAAGTGGGAAGGGGAGGAAAAAGGAAATAAGGGAAAATAAAAAGTTTGAAAAAATGGAAAAGAAGTCTTTATAAATAGGGAAGGGTTAAGTGGGTGAAGGGAGGGCAGAGATATGGGGGAAAAACAAAAACCAAGATATATCATGTAAAGATATGAGATCCCAATGATGAATATAACTATTGTTTGCTTTAAATGTACCAATAAACTTAATGGAAAAAAAGTAAGCATAGGCAAAGCATAGATGCATAGATATGCTCTTAATAGAGAATGGCATAAAATAATGGAATTTAAAGTATGGGGAATGTATAGAAGGATGAAAGTAATATATAAAAATGTTAAGTACAATGAGAATAATACAGTCAAGTAAAATAATTTTTTAAAAATTCAAAAAAAAGTATGAAGAACTAAACTAAAAATCACAAACATAAGCCCAACCAATAAATAGGCAAATGAATTGAACATAACTTTTGAAAGTACAAATGCTACATATATATATATAGTCTTTATCCATTAGGGAAATGTAAGAGCCCTTAGCTCCAGGTAGGAGACTGCAGGTGACTTCAATCCTGTCTCAGGGTCCTCTGCACAGGTCCAGCATGCTGTGAGAGGCCCTGGAGACCCTGCACTGGAAATGGAGTTAATGACCTTTGAGGATGTGACTGTGAACTTCACCCAGGATGAGTGGGCTTTACTAGATCCTTCCCAGAAGAATCTCTACAAAGCTGTGATGCAGAAAAACTGCAGGAACCCAGTCTCTGTAGAAGCCTGTGAAGAGTGTGAGAAAGGCAGTCTGTGTAGAAAGATCTTCAGACCTTTATATCTTCAGCCTCCAGATCAGACTTTAAATTTAAGAAACAACTACATTCATGTGGAAGCCATGTGTGTAAGGAAGTCCTCATTGGCCATTCATTCCAAAACGCACCCCTCAGACTTTACAGTGGGCACAAACTATAAGAATCAGGATCATGTAGAGAAGCCATGTAAATACAAATAACATTAAGAACACTTCCCCCTTCCCCAGTGCTTTGAGAAGCTTGAAAGGACATAAAATGGAGAGAAACCACCTGGACATAAGCAATGTGAGAAACTGTTCAGAAATTCCCATTGCCTAAAAACATGAAAAAAAAATCACACTGGAGAGAAACCCACTGTATGTAAACAACATGGGAAAACCTTCAATCCTATGCTCTTCATGAGCATAAAAACAAATCACACTAGTGAGAAACCCCATCATTGTGAACAGTGTGGGCAACCATTCCCACATTACACTTTCCTTTTCTGAACAGATGAAATTCACACTGAAGAGGAACCTTATGCATGTAAAGAATGCGGGAAGGTGTTCAGGTCTTCAAGTGCTCTTCAAGTACATAAAAGAACAGTGAGAGAAGCCCTATCTGTGCAAGGAATGTTGAAAAGCATTTGCATGTTGTACTTCTCATAAACTGTATTGGAAATATTTACACTGGAGAGAAACCTTGTGTATGTAAGGATTGTAAAAAAAACCTTCAGCACTTCCAGTGACTTTCACAAATAACTCATAGTATGAGAGAGACCTTATGAATGTAAACAATGTGGGAAAGCCTTCAGTCACTCCAGTGCCCCACATACACATAAAATAATTCACACTGACGAGAAGCCATGTGTACAAAGAATGTGGAAAAACATTTGCATATTGCAAACTGTGCAAACTGCACAGAAGAATTCACACTGGTGGTGGTGTTTGCCTATAATTCCAGCACTCGGGAGGCTGAAGCAGGAGGATCACTGTGAGTTCGAGACCAGCCTGGGCTACATAGTTCCAGGTCAGTCTCAACTACATAGTGAGACCGTCTCAAAAAAACAAAACAATGGAGTGAAACCTTAAGAATGTAAAGATTGTGGGAAGGTCGAAAGGTCCTCAAGTGCTCTTCATGTATATAAAATAACTCACATTAGTGAGAAGCTCTATGTGCATAAGCAATGTGCAAAAACATTTGCATGTTGTACTTAAAGTTTATGGAAGAATGCACAGTGGAGAAGATCCTTATGAATGTAAAGAGTGTGGGAAGGCCTTCATGTCCTCAAATGCTCTTCAGGTACATGAAAGAATTTACACTGGTGAGAAGCCCTGTGTTTGCCAGGAATGTGGAAAAATATTCTCATGGTTTACTTCCTTTCAACTGCATGGAAGAATTCATACTGGAGAGAAACCATATGAATGTAGTGAATGTAAAAGGTCCTTCACAGCCTTCAATAGCTTTCAAAAGCAAAAGATTTCACAGTAAAGGGAAACCTTATGCATGTAAACAATGTGGGAAAGCCTTCAGATATCCCAGGTACCTTAAAGTACATGAAAGAATTCATACTGTAGAGTAACCTTATGTATGTCAATACTGTGGGAAAACATTTTTTAAAATCCCAGTTCTTTTATATTCCATAAATGAATTCACACATGTTCCAGTCATCTTCACACACCTGAAATGGCTTACTCTGGAGAAATCCCATGTGTATAAGGAGAGGCAAAGCTTTCATTATTCCCATACCCTTAAATACATGAAAGAGTCCACACTGTAGAGAAGCCACATAAAGCTAAACAATGTAGGAGGACTATGTATATGTTCCATTTCCCTTCAAGTACACATTGGAGAGACCTATAAGCAGTGTTGTAGCATTCAGTTTTCTTAGTGCTCTTCAAATAAAAGGATTCATACCGGAGTCACACCTTACATGTGTAAGCAATGAAAAACAAACTATATTGAGCTCCTATCTCATTCTAGTCAGAATAGTTATCATTAAGAATATTAAAAACTGGAGAAAATAAGGGCATAAGGAGACCTTTACATTGTCTTTGGGAATATAAATTAGTACAAGCACTATGGAAATCACTATGGAAGTTTTTTTAAAAAGCTAAACATGACTACTATGTAAATTATTTGAACAGTTTCTTGGTATATACCTGGAAGAGTTAAAGTCAGCATATCATAGGGTTGCCTGCATACCTATGTTTATTGAAGTACAATTCACAGTAGCTAAGATATGGAATCAGTCTATGTGCTCATCAGTGGGTGAGTGGATATGAAAATGTGGTAATTACACACAGTGGAGTATTGCTGGATCATAAAAAATGAAATTATGTAATTTGCAGGATACTGGATAGAGCTGGAGCTCATCATGTTATGAGAAATAAGCCAGACTAAGAATATAAATTCGGCATGTTTTCTTTAATACCTGGAATCTAAAGGAATGTGAAAAAATAATAATATGAAAGTAGATGAGACACTTTTTAGATATGAGGACAGGAATAAGGGGGAGGAGAGAGGAGATATAAGGGAGGATAATGGGGGAATGAATATGTCCAAGATGTTACATAAATATATGAAAAGTAAAACAAAAAATACTAAATGAAGAGGCACGTTATCTGTATTTTAAAAATAATTTTTAGTAATACATATTTACAATGCATACTACATTTATTGTGGGGAGTTTTTACAATACACATATTGTATCTTTTTTAAAAATTGAACTTATTGGTATATTTTAGGTATGCATTATAATCACATTCATCATTAGGAATTTGTACCTCTACATGGTATATCTTGGTTATTATTTTTTCCCTGACCTTCTCTCAACCCCTCCACACCCCATGTTCATAAGTTTTGTTTCCATTTTTTACTTTTTTTTTCTTTCCCTTCTCTCCCCAACCCCAGTTCCCTTTCCCCTTTGAACATTTTATTCCTATTTCACAGTATCTATTATGCCTTTTGGTTCTTATTTATGCTTTCAGTTTCTCACACTAGGGAAACTATTTGGTATTTACACATGTGTATTCTATTTATTTCACTTAGAAGTATGGCATCAAGGTGCATCCCTTTAGCTATAAATGTCTCTTATTTATCTTTATCGCTGAGTACTCCATTTTATAAAAAAAAAACCCACATATTTATTCAAAGACCAATTGATAGATATTTGGGCTGTTTCCAAGATTTAGCTATTATGAACTGTGCTGCTTTAAACATAGTGTGCATATATTGCTGTGGTATGATGCTTTTAATTCTTTTAGGAATATACCCAAAAGGGGGATAACTGAGGTATCTCCACTCTGATATCCACAGTGGTTGCACCAGTCTATAATCCCATCAACAGTGGAGAAGGGTTCCTTTTTTCCCCCCACTGTCCCACCAACATTTGTTATTGGTTGATTTCTTGATGGCAGCCATTCTTTCTGGAGTGAGATGGAATATCAATGTTGTTTTCATCTGCATCTCTTTAATGACCAGTGATGTTGAACATTTTTTCATATGTTTATTTGGTGCTTCTAATTCTTTATTTGACAAATCTTTGTTCATGTCATATGCCCATTTTTGGATTGGGTCTTTAAATTTGTGAGGTCTGCTTTTTAAATTGTTCTTTATATATTCTAGACAGTAGTCCTTTGATGGTTATAACTGATATATATATATATATATATATATATCATATATATGGACTTATCTTTGTCATAATATTTTCCTGTTGTTGGCTCTTTTATTTTGTTTTTCCCTCTTTCCATTTAATCTCTTGCCTTGCCTGATAGCTTCATTCTGTTGGGCTTCAAGGAGTTGTGACCCTCATTGTCTTTTTCCAGGATATTGTTTAGAAGTTTTTGGAATGGTGGTTGGGTATTCACCAAGTTCCTCAGGTGTTCTTTGTTATAAAAGTATCTTATTTCTCCATCAATTTTGAAAGATAGTTTTGCAGGACACATCAATATGGGTTGAAGGGTGCTTTCCTTTGGGACTTGAAATACTTTAGGCCCTTCTTGACTCGAGAGTTTGTGCTGAGAAGTCTGCTATGATTCTGATGGGCTTTCCCTTGTGATTTGTTTCTTTTCTCTAAATGTTTTTAGTATTTTGTTCTTCTGTTGGGTTTCTGGAATCTTGACTATTATATGTCTAGGTATAGATTTTATTTTGTCACAGCTAGTTGGAGTCCTATATGCCTTACTTATCTGTATGTTAAATTCTTTTTCCCTGCTTGGGAAGTTTTCTGCCATTACTTCTTTGAACAGTTTCTTTTTTAAATGTCATTTGCACTATCTCCTGCTTTTTCATTGACTCCAATCAGTTTTATGTTCTTCTTTGTATCATTTCAGCTGCTGGATTGATTCATCATAGTCCTTGCTATTTTTAAGAAATCTCTTCATGGTCACTAACCACATTCCTATCTTCTACATCTGATATTTTGTCCTCACATTGGCTCATTCTGCTGTGTAAGTTTTCAGTGGAGTTTTTAATCTCCTGAATATCTGTTTGAATCTGTTTCATGGATTCTATTTATTTTTTATGCTAGGCATTCATGGATTCCATCATGTTCCTGAGTTCCTGTATATTTTAAAATCTGTGTCTGCCCTAGAGTTATTAATTATGTCTTTCACTATAGTCACTATTTCTATTGTTATCTGAAAAATTATTTCTGATTTCATTTTTTCCATAGCTTCTTTCTTTACCGTTCAGGGAGTCCAAGTGTTTCAGTGTGGATTGTTCCATCTGTTGACCCCTGGATTAGTCTTTGTTAATGTGGAAGTCTGGGTTTGTGCCTTAAGTATCTTCTCATTTATATTGTTGTTGTTCTTGTTGATTTTTTGGTTTAAGTCCTGGGTTGCTGCTTGTAAATTGCTTATTGCAAGTATCTTTATTGCTAGTATTTAGAACCCTTAGGGAATGGCTACTTCTTGGATTGTCTTCCTGCTATAATTGGCCTTTGGGTTTTGAGTCTGTAATGCCCTTTAAGCAATCTGAGTTGTGGTTTACCAGTAAGGACAACTGACTAGAGCAATCAGGTCACCTTAGCCAAAGTAATACAATCAGCAACAACAATATCATCAAACACAGCTTAGAAAATGTCAAATTGTTGTAGCTATTCTCAAATCTTTTAACTGCATAAACTAGACTTGTAACTATATTAAATTCAAGGAACAACCAGAAATATGTTTACAGTTGGTTAGCCCTTCAATATAGCTGTTTTACACTCAGGGAAGAAAACTTAGAGGGAGATGTGGATGGATAAAGAGAAGTTAGAAGAAGTTAATGTAGGTGTAGAGGACATAGGAGGATAATGAAGACTTTGGGAAACATGAGGACAGGAAGAAAAGGAAGGAACAGAAAGAACATCAAAACAAAATAACAGTAACAGGAAAACTAGAAACTATTTACACTCTTATTACAAAAATAACAATGAAGAGAATAACAGAACAGTACAAAAACAGAAAAACAAGAAAATAGAGAAATGAAGAAAGAAAAGAAAATGAAGGAAGGAAGGAAGAAAGAAAAAAGAAAAATGAAAGAAAAAGAGAAGAAAAATGTCCCTTTTGTGTCATTATTCTGCTATTGCTGATATACAATGTAGGTATCAGTGTGCATAGCCAAGATGATTAATCTCAGTGAACCAGCTGTTGTCCAGTGAGATTCAGTCTAGTTTCTGGCTGCAAGGTCAGAATTGAGCTCCCTGACCTCTTGCAGGTTAGAACTCTACAAGGTTCTAATGCAGGTTTGAATTGCCATTCCCCCATAGGAGGTCCAGGTTCTGTAGGAGGTACTTGTTCCAGAAACTCATCAATTGCTGCAGTCTGCTCTGTCGTTTCTGTCCTGGTGGGTTTCAATTTTCAAAAACAACAAGCCTGGGAGTAGGCCTCTCTGCTTCTCACAGCTGCACTATCTTCTTGAGCTCATTGTAATGGTTCTCTGGCCCCAGATGCCTCTGCCTTTATGGATCCCAATCAAAGAGATGCCCTCTAGGGTGCATGGGGACCTTACATCTCTCAGGTCCCAGCATGCACAGACCACACATCTTGCAGGGTCCAGGAACAGAATTAAATGATTTCTTGTACTATGTTTGTAAGTAACTTGTTTCAAAATTTTGAATCTCTATTGAGATAGCTTTGTAGTTATTTTGTGATTAAGCCCTCTTCTTTTTTTGAAAAATCAGGGTCATGCTAGTTTGAGAAATGAGTTTTTCAGTGTCCTTTCCCATTCCATTTCATGTAAGACTGTGAGAGGCTTGCAAGCGCAAGGACCTGAGTTCAGTCCCCGGTACCCTCCCCCCAAAGACTGAGAGGTATTGTCCCTGATTATTTACAAAAGCTCTGGAAAAACTCAGCAGTGAATCAATTGCTTTCTGGTCTTTTCTTAACTAGAACCTTAGTCACTGTCTTCATTGCTCAGACATAATACCAAACACCTGCAGCTTAAAGGGGAGATGGTTTACTTTGGATCATATTTCACTCTATAGTTTGGCTGATGCTAAGGCA